AAAAAAAAAAAAAAAAAAAAGCCCAAACGAACACACACACACACACACACACACACACACACACACCCCAATATGCACTTGCATATAATTTAGGGTTTAGCCAGGCACAGTGGTGCACACCTGTAATCCCAGCATCAGGAGGCTGAGGCAGGAGGTTTTTTTTGTTTGGACCCTCCTTCCTGAGGCAGGAGTTTGAGGTTAGTGGGAGCTACACAATGAGCTCAGTAATTATTATTCTTTCTGAGGAATCACAGCTGTCTTAGGGTTTGTGAATACTGGGCAGAAGCACTGTCATTTTTTTTTTTTTTGCACAACCGGGGATTGAACTCAGACCCTTGCGCTTGCCAGGGACGCGCTTATTCTATTGAGCCATCTCCCCAGCCCTGAGGCACTGTCTTTAAAGGGCCTTGGGGTTATCTCTGAGGAGACCAGTGGCACAGGGGGCCCTGACAAGATGGCCTGCATGGGGCTGTTTCTGAGGCCCAGCTCCAGCACTGGTACCTGTTGATGATGGTGGGCAGGAAGCACAAGAAGAACTTCTCGGGGATGCGGACGAAGGGCAGCAGCCCCATGTAATAGAGCAGCAGCACCCAGAAAGACCGGGATATCGTAAAGGACAGTGGCATCTCTGGGTTCTGGGGAGACAAGGAGACAAGAGAGGGGATCCACCTGCTCCTGGGGAAGAAGGGAGGAGGCACTGGCCACAGGCAACATCCTGGGCATTCAGGAGGCCCTGTGGGACAGGCCGAGGCCACACCTCCCCATCACCAGCACTGTGCCAGTGCTCTCCCGATCTGGTCCCTGGGACTGTACCCCAGCTTAGGGGCTTGGGTGAGGCTGGGCTCCAGTGCCTAGGAGGCAGGGCTCTGGGGTCTGGGGGGAGAGGGACTCACAGCGACCTTGCACTTCTTCATGACTGAGTTCTTCTCTGAGGCCCAGATGGTGATCTTGCTTCGATCGAATTGCCTCACCAGGCCTGCTATCTAAGAGGAGCAGAGCCAGGCTAAGGGAGCCAGGCCTCCCGCTGCCCTGCCCCGCTGGCCGCCGTGCCTGCAGCACCACCTTGTGAATGAGCTCCTCATTGTTCGACTTGACCTCCACGCTCATGGGCATCTGCGGGAACCTCCGGAACAGGTCCTCCAGGCGCACCATGCGCCGGTCTGACCCGTGGGCAAAGTGGCCTGGGAGTAGGGCCGGGGGAGGCAGGGATCAGAGGATGGCGGGGAGGGAGTGGGAGGGGTGTCCTGGCTTGGTGCAGGCTCACAGCGCCTCTCACCTGGTGAGAAGTAAACCTCCAGCTCTTCCTTGTATAGGGGCAGCTCCTGGGAGTGAAGTGAAGCGTGTCACCAGCAGGCACTCAAGCAGATGTGACAACCCTGGGAATGGGGAAGTGCAGGCAAGGCCCACCTCAAAGTCCAGGCTGCCCACATCCCTGTTCAGCCCTGACTGGCGGGACAGGTTCTCGTCGTGTGACACCACCACCACACCGTCCCGGGTCAGCTGGCAGTCCAGTTCCAGGAGCTCTGCTCCTTGAGCCATGGAGCTAAGGGAACAAAGGCCATTAGCAGGGGCAGGGGGCAGGGTTGGACTGGCGGGGGACCATGGGACAGTCATGGTGGGATGCGCGCGATCCCCTGCCCACCCCTGAGCACTCTGGATACCCAGACTGGGAAACGGAGGGCACCCGGCGTGTCTGCGGCATATAGCTGGCCCAGCCTGACATGGGAACGTGGCCAGGGCAGGTACACTCACTTCTCTATGGCTTCCATGGTGTTCTCCAGCCGCTCTCCAGACCCTGTGTGGGACAGTGGGGCAGGCCATCACTTACCCTCCCTCTTGCTACCTCCCTGGGTCTCAGCTCTCACCTTCAGTCACTCAGGCAGTGGCCACTCCTTCCCTGCTGCCCCCCTCCTGCTTGGCCCTGGCCTTGCCTCTGGCATTTTGCCCTGGGGCCTACCTCAGCGTGACCCACTTCGGCCTCACTCCACCTGTCCCTTCCTCCCCTGCCCAGCTTACCTCCCCGGTGGGCTGCCAGGTGGGGACGGAAGGCTGGAGGGCAGGGTGTGTGCAGCAGGCGAGGCCGGCGCAGGAAGAAGATGGAGAGCAGGATGTAGCTGCCCAGGGCAGGCAGGGCGTAGTAGAGCAGGGAGCTCATGGCCGCACTCCCCATCCAGGCTTGAGCCACAAGTGCGGCGCCTGGTGGACTGTGCAGCCCTGCTGCTGCTGGCCCAGCCGGTGTAGGTTGGCTCCACCGCAGGCTGGCGCCACGCCCCTAGGACTTGCTGAGCCTGCTACTATGCTGCTGGCCTGGGGCCAGACTGCAAGGCCCAGCTGCACTGAGGCAGAAATGAAGTAGACAGCCTCCCCTCCCCTGATAGTTCAGAGACCCAGCACCCTTGACCACATTGGGGGTGGGGGCATAAAATGCCCCTCCTTGCTGGATCCTTCCCGTTCCCGTGGGCACCATGGCCAGGATATGCGGCACCGCACCCCTGCCATTTCCAAGGAAGCTGGGGGGTGTGCAGGATGCCCTTGAGTCACCCCTGAATCACCCCACTGAGCCAAACATGAAGTCAGAGACGAAGGCCAGAGTGCCTGAGGGGCAAACTGACCCCATTCCTTCCCGGAGCTGGAGCTCCGTAAGCCCCTTCCTCAGCCCTGTCCAGCTGGAGCACAAGGTCACCAGGACCACGTGAAGCCAAGCTGGGAGGCAGATGGACACAGAGGTCAGCCCTCCAGCACAGGTTAGCGTCGGCATCGGCGCACACACACAGAGCCAGGGTGGTCCGTATACACATCTCTATATTTATATATTAGATACAGGCAAGGGAAGTGGGCAGGGGCACTGGGCTGTCCTCAGGCCTCCACTCCATTTCCACTCACCCACACACAGAAGCAGCGAGGGCGTTAAATGTGGCAGCACGGGGACGGGGGACGGGGGGCGCTCCGGCCAGGACTGGCTCCTCAGGAGTACTAGCCCTTGAGACTTAGGAATGTTCCTTCAAGGAAAGTAGGTGGGGTGTCACTGAGGTGAGTGGGGCAGGACTTGCCCTGAGTCTCTACTCAGACTCTGGGTCCCAGGGTAGGTCCTGGGGCAGCCAGAGCCCTTCCATTCCAGAAAAGTCTACCAGGTATGGGGCCAGCTGGGGAAGATGAAGGCAGAGCAGCAGAGAGAAATTTGCTCTGGGCCACCTGAGCTGCTCAAGCTCCAAGGCAGGGTCAGGGCAGGAGGGAGCCTTGGCCTGCCCAACGCAGGAAAGCTCAGCAAAGTGGGAGAAGGAGCCAGGCCCACCCTCAGCCCTGGCCGGGGTCGCACAGTGTCCACTTTCTAACAGTCCAGCGGGAGAAGGGGCAGGCAGGCGCCAGGGCCTAAAGGAAGAAGCAGGCGGGAAAGAGCAGTTAGTGCCTTGAGAGGCCGCCGCAGACCACGGCGCCTATCACTTCATCCTTATCTGCAGATGAGGCCAACAGGTACTAGTGTGACAGCTGAGTCACTGCTTGAAAACCTCTTGCGACACTGCTTAGAACTCTACCGGTGCCTAATCTCATTGTAGAGCAGTCCCCAGAACCTGAGATACAGGGAAGTGACGTGTCCTGCACACCACCACGTAGCTGGGGTGGAGGGGACTTGGGTCTTGTGCTCAGGTGTGCCTGCCTTTGTTGCATCAGGCCACAGCTGTGCAAAGACAGGAAGAGGTGGGAGGAAGGCAGGAACGGAGCCTGGTCAGAGACAGCCCCAGGAGTCGAGGTATGGAAATGGCTAACCGGAGCAGTGGGCGGAAGCTGCGCATCTGGGTGAGCTGCGAGCTGCAGGCTCCTTCTCAAACACAATGGCCTCATCTGCATCCACCTACACTACAGCACCGAAGTCTGGCTCAGTTCCTCAGGGCGAGGAGAGGGCCCCTCAGTAACCTCTCTGGGCTCTACAGTTGGCTGCTGGGTTGGGGGGACCCACGGTGCTGACAAGTGAGATGGAAGGCGCTGGAGGACAGGGCAGCTGCAAGGACTGTGAGGTCACCAGTCTGTTGCCACCACATGGATCGTGGGTGTAAGGCACACCTGGGACTGTACTGAGGTAGGTGGACACCCTGCTACTAGGCCAAGCCTGTGCAAGGGTAGCAGGGGCTACTCACCAGGCCCCAGGAGGCAGGGACATCTGTCCTAGTTAGGGGGCATCTGGTGCCCCTGGCTGAAAGTGGGCTGTCTCTTGGAAGATAAGCTCCTTCAGCCGCTCCTTGGGTAGATCATCCAGCTCCATGTCGAACGTGAAGGGCTCCTCAGCCACTGGCTGGGTTGGCAAAGACAGTAAGGCCGGGCCAGGTGTTGGGGATACCCATTCCCCCACCTGCCCTACTGCTAGTGGCTGCCCCACCTCGTCTGTGGGGTCATAGTACTGATCCAGGTAGGGGTGAGCCAGTGCCTCCTCCACCGTGATCCGCTTATTGGGATTGAAGGTAAGCATCCGGTTTAGGAGGTCAAGAGCTAAGGAGAGGCAGGAAGCAAGGTCAAAGGGAAGGCCAGGCAGCACCAAACAGCATTCTGCCCTGTGCCCAGGGGCTGCCTGATAAGACAGTTGGTGGCATCGTGCATTGTTCTGCACACCCACTTGTGGTCCACCACTGCCGGAGTCTCACTCACCGTTCAAGTCCGACTTGGGAAAAAGCTTAGTCCAGGCCACCTTGGTCTTAGAGGGCAGAGACTGTAGGTAGTTTCGGGCCTTCGTATTAATGATACAATTGAGGTCCTCCTGGGATGGGGAGCCCAGGATTCCTGTAGGTTAGATGAATGTCTTGGTGAGGAATCACCTTGGCCTGGGAGAAGAACGGGGAAAGAGGCAAGGAAAACAGACCCAGCCCGGCTGATGCCTGGCTCCCCCATCTCCCAGCTGAGAGAACAGGGAAGCGGAAGGGGCTGGAACTCAGCAGCCCTAGGGTCAAATGCTGGCTCTTAGCTTTACTTTTCCCATCTACCAAATGGGGATGGGCCAGGGAGATAGCTCAGTAAAATAAACTCTTGTCTGGCAAGCACAAGGGTCTGAGTTCAATCCCCGATTCCACAGAAAAAAAGAAGATACACTGCTCACCGAAACAATGTGAGATGTGAGAAAGGCTCCACACCCTTAAGGTGACCCTTGAGAACTCTCACCTCCCAGAGGCGAGTCCCCTGCCCCTTCACACGACCAGGCTGCCTCACCCAGAATGTGGTTGAGCTGGTCCAGGTAGTGCTTTCCAGGGAAGATGGGCCGGTTGGAGAGCATCTCTGCCAGAATGCAGCCCACAGACCAGATGTCAATGGACTTGGTGTAGCCCTGGGGCAGAGGGGAAAAGATGGGGTGCTGGGCTGAGGCAGAATGTGGAGCACAGAAGTCTAGAAGGACAATGTGCTGCTTTCTCTCAGAGCCCAAGGACCAGAAGGTAGACGTCCTGTGTCACAGAGGCCAACGGTGGGGGCAGAGACAGTTCCATCCCTCTGGTGGTGCCAAGTTCTCCTACCTTAGAGTTAAGCATGATCTCTGGAGCCCGGTACCAGCGTGTGGCCACATACTCGGTCAGAAAGCCAGTGTGGTCATGCTCAGGATCAGCAATCCGGGCCAGGCCAAAATCACAGATCTGGAACAAAACCCAGGTGGCCACTCTTGGTGCACAAGGCCTGCACAGCCCGAGTGGTCACACTGCCACACCACCACTAGGCTGTTCCCTGCTGCCGTGCCCCAAGGCTTCCCCTGGTCAGCCGGCACCCTAGGCTCCTGGAGGGGAAGGGCAGCCACCCAAGCGCCTGACCTTAAGGTCGCAGGTGGTGTTGATGAGCAGGTTAGAGGGCTTGAGGTCCCGGTGGAGCACATTGGCTGAGTGGATGTACTTGAGGCCCCGCAGGATCTGGTAGAGGAAGTAGCAGATGTGGTCGTTGCTCAGTTGCTGGCTTTTGAGCAACTTGTACAGGTCTGTCTCCATCAGGTCCTGCACAATGTAGCTGAGGAGGGTTCCAGAGGCCCCGGGGTAGGGGGCATCCAGAGGCACTAGGTTAAGGAAAAGAGGTGCTGGCAACCAGGCTACATGCTGCCTCGAGCTGGAGCCCTTCGGCCTGGGGACTCGTGAGATGGGGAAGGCTAAGAGCCTCTGCTGCAGCTCAGCTGGTAGCCCTGAGTAAGGACCTTTTCTTCTGTGGCCTCAGTTTTCCTACCAGGGATATGACACCAATAAACATCGAGGCAAGAGAACTTCAGCACTAAGAGCAGCAGCTTTGAAGTTTACTCACGGATGGCCAAAACCTCCATTCTACTACACTAGCTTTATGACCACAACCCGTTTGTGCCTCGGTTTCCTCAGGTGGCAAGGAGGAGAAGTAACTGTTCTGCAGTCAGCCCAGAGCGCACGCTCTAAGTGCTCAGCTAACACGAACATTTACTGCTGATATAAAGGCCTGAGCCACCTGGCTGGTGAGGGGGTTAAGTGAGATGATGTATGAATACCATCTGGCACACGATAAATGTTTGCTTAAAAATAAATGCCTGAAAAAAAGAAAAAGAAATGCCTGCCTTCTGGGAATGATCTGCGCCAGAAAAATGAGGCACTCCCAACAGCATGCCCCTCCTCAGAGACAGTGCCTGGCCACGCACCATGCCGCACGAGGCAGAGAAGGAAATGCCCTTGCGATATTGGAAAACACAAGGTTAAACATAGGTAAATGCCCGCCCCACCCGAAAAGGCCAGGCATGGTGGTGCACGCACTCAAGAGGCTGAGGCAGGAGGATCATTGCAAGTTCGAGACCAGCCTGGGCTATAAAGTGAGCTCAAGGCCAGCCTGAGCTGCACAGCAAGACCCTGTCTCAAAAAGTCATAAATAAATAAACGCCATGTGGTTTGTCTTTGGAAGGCAGCGAGGCTCACCACTATGCCACCAACCCAGGCTGCGGTTTATCTCTGGACGTACATCAGACTTGTTTTTTACAGACAACATCTGGATAAACCTTGCCGTTTTATAGATAGGGAGGTCCCAAGACGCAGCGCCTTGCTTAGGGTAACACAGCAGGCTGAGGTGAATGTGGTGGTTTTGTGTCCTCTGTCTGTGGTGGAGACTGAAGATGCCACCAAACAAATCTTCCCGTCTGGGTGGAGGTTTGGAACTGGTGGGGTGTTATACTCAGGCAGGAAGTAGACAACAAATGAGGGGAGCAACATCAGGAAGGCAGGGAGGAAGGCTGGGCCGCCCTCCCTGGGCAAGGTAAGAGTCCACAGGTGATGGGGGTGGGGCCCTGCGCAGGAAGCTCGAGGAAGGACAAGGTGGGGGGGTCCCAACAGACTCTGGATTTCAGACTTTCTCTGATTTGTGCCAAAGTTAGCATAAGACTCATCAAAGCACGTGGCATGCGCAGTGCCTGCCACAAAGCAAGCCTACAGGAAAAGGCAGCTTTTCTTCTCCTTGCCTTCTTTCCAGTCTGGAGATTCAGCAAGGAATTCTCATCAGTTTGTTAAGCAAGAACTGACTGGGCAGAGGCTGGATCATGTCACAGAACTGCAGATGTCGGAGGACAAAGCTCCCATAGAGCCCATCTCGTCAGCCTCCCTCCACCCCTCTCTATTAGGACACAGCAGAGAAGGACTTGTCCAGGGCCACTCTGGCCACAGAGAGCCAGGATCCCCCTGAGGCCTCCAGTCCTCTCACACTCTATTGGAAAGTTTCTTT